ACAGTGATCTTTTAAAAATAGATGTTGGTTTCAATCTTTTAAAATCATTTTTGTGGGATTTTTTTGCAATGAAATACAATAATGTTATTTTGTACTTGATATTTTGTTTCTTGCACAATTAAATATTATTATTAATGGTTCTATCAAGTAGCTTTGCGTTTCCTGACCCTCTGCATTTAAAAAAAACCATAATATTATCTTGACATATGTATTAAATATGAAGAAGTTTCTCAAGAAAATATTTACTTTGGGTCTCATAGTGCTTCAAAAACCCACATTGTTACTGTCCATGTGCTTTTGCGAACATCTGGTCAGTCTACGGTACTTCAGTTAATGTTTGCAAATGCTATCTTTGAGGAATAACAATGATAAATATACCTGATTAAATCAATGGTTGCAATTTAGATTATTTTAGTGTGTGTGGAGGAAGCCTAAATGTGTATGGTTTTTATTTTGTTTCTCTTAGTTGATTTTCAATTAGCAATCCTGAAACTGAAATACTTTCATTTTCAAAAGGTACCAGGAGTCCACTGCAGAGCTTGCCTTTACGGTACTGAATAAAGTTTTCATAAAAACAATACTTGATGCTGGAACATAATTGCTGTGCTATATCAGACCAGTGGTCTGTCTAGCCCAGTATGCAGTCTGAAAGTGATCAGTCCATTCCCAGATGCTTCAGAGAAGTGCAAGAAACTTCATAGTGAACAACTCTGGAATAATGTGCCCTATGAGAAATTTCTGCCAAACTCAATTTAGAATTGACTTGTATGCTGAAGCAAGACAGATTTTGCATCTTTAATTGCTTGTCATCTAATGCAGCTGTGGCTGTTCTCATCCTTTTTAAATATCTAATTCATTTTTATATGTATTTGACTCATCTCACCATAGTATCTGACCACCCCGCAAGTTTTGGGTTTTTTTGGGGGGGAGGGAGGGAGGATACTTTGCAACTGTAAAGAGTAGCTTGAAACATGGCAGTTTTTTTGGTTTATTTTTTTAAACATACGGGGGTGGGCTGGGGATAGCTAAGATTAAAGCAGTGTGTGTTGTATTTGGTTCTGGTAGCTCAGAGGGTAGTGTTAATTCTGTTGTAGGAATTGATTCCATGGTTTATGTCCATCTCATGGCAAAGTTTTCTCTCATGCTTTCAGTTCTCCTCCTGTTCATAGACAATTTGATAGAGGTCATGGTTATGGGGAGAGATGCAGTTTCTTGAGGAACTAGGGTCAGGCTTGTGAGGAGCTACAGATATTAAGAATGAGACTTTTTGAATTGGATTTTGTGTTCACTGGAGCTAGTGTAATGAGTGGAACCAGAGGTGCTGTAATCCTAGTGTCAGTTGCTGAGCAGATGGGCTTTTTCTCTTACCGGTTGAAGATCTTAGGTTGTTTACCTTTGTTTATGGGTAGGATTTGCAATAATCTAATTTGGAAGTCATGAAAACATGATTATTGTGACCAGATCTTTTTGATAGGATAGGGCACAGTGTTCTGGACAGCTGCAAGAGAACATGGGTGTCGTTCACAATCATGGATAGCTAAGAGTACCCCAATGCTATTCACTGACTCTACAATGTTCAGGCAGATGCATTTGACCAAGGAAGATGTCTCAAGACCTTGCCTTCTCCAAACACCTTCTCTTTTCTCTCTTGCTTGGGTTTAGTTTCAGCCAGCTGCTCCTCATCCAGGTATTTGGACAGCTGGCAAAAAGTAATATTGACATTTGAGGCAAGGGAGAGGTCAGCAATACACAAACAACATCCAGCTCTACACCTCAGCCCATATGTCTAACCAGCAACTTCAGACAAGTATTGAATAATATAGGGGACAGGATTTACCCTTTGCAAGGCTTAATAGGAGAGGACTCTGGACATGGACAAACAATGGTCCAGCTCATCCTTTTGTGTTTAGTCTTGGAGAAAAGATGATACCTTGGGTAAACAAGTTCCATAGGTTAATCATGTTTTTTGTGGAAAAGTATTTTATGTTTGTTTTTTTAAAATTTGATACCTTTTATCACATGTCCCCTGGTTATGTTATGGGAGAGGGTAATAGGTCTGTTTAACTGCCTCTTTAACATTCATTATTTTGTGTATCTCTGTCATTGCTTTTTAATTTGTTTCCTCTATAAATTAAACACACACAGTCTTTTCAATCTCTATCCATGCCTCTAATCTTTATCACCTCTTTTTGGATCTCATTTATTTCTTCTGTATCTCTAAAATATAGTGAATTTACACCCTTACCTGGAATACTGTGCCAACATTGACTTATCTAATTGTATTAGTAAATATGCAATGCCCAGGGGTAGTCAAAAAAGCAGACATTTTCATCAGGGTATCTAGAATAACACAATGGTCTTGTTCCAGAGAGGTTAGAGGTAATTTTAAAAGCCGCCAATATGTAGGAATAGTTCCTTCTGTTGTGCACTCACTTTCATTAGTCAACAGTAAAGGTGCTGCCTATTCATTTAGCTTTGCTAGGTTGCTCTCTGGATTTCTTTAGTGTTCTATAGTCTGTCTATTTTAAAATATTTGAAGATAAAATAATCTCCCTATTTACCCTCATTTCTAGATAGTTTGTTGGTGAACTGGGTCATCACGCTGTTTTTGGGTTTTTTTGGAAAGGGGAAAATTTATTTTCCTTTTTGAGTTATAGTCCTTATGTGTATTCCATGGGAGGGGTGGTGGTGGTGTGTGCTCCATATAATTGAGATCAGAAGATTCTTGCTAACAATATCCTTAGGTCCTCACCTGCCTCTTTCTCTTTGTGTTCCAAACTGAGGGCAAAAGGGGCAGTGCAAGACGCTCTCCAGTTCTTTTCTGCTGCCTGTGGTCTGAGGTAGAACTTCTTCATTAGCTAGGTTCTGCATCTAACTGTAATTCACTGTAAATAGTTTAAAATGTAGTTTATATTTTTATAGTTCTTAATAGGATTTGGTGGGTCTACCCCCCTCCACCCCCCCACTCCCATCCTGAGTACCTAGTTATTCCCAAGATCCAGGGATTCTAAAACTGTGTGTGTTGCCCTCAGGCCTTTCTGGTCAGCGATGACTACCTCAAGTGCCTCTACTGCCTAGGTGAGGCTCACATCCCCTCAAAGTGTGGTATTTGCCAATCCTTCCAAAGTCAAATTTGCTAAATTTGTGAGCACTGGGTTGGAAGACTTCCAATGGATTATGCCATGAAGCCTCAGTCCAACCCTGGCCTGTCAGATACCCTTGTACGTCAGGTGGAGGCATCAAGAAGGCACTGCTCAGTGGCCTTCAGCTCCAAGGTTTGTAGGAGTAGAGCAAGGGACTAGCCCAAACGGGCATGAGGAAGGTAGGAAGCACTCTCGCAAGAGATAAGAAATCCCTCCTCTGGGCCCTCATCCAATAAGAGGGCCTCTTCTCCAATAAAGATGTAAAATGTTAAATGGTTAACCAGTAAGTATTAGTCTTACCATTAATATATTGCAGTTAAAACAGATTGTATTCCTGGGGCATTCTGCGCCTAAAAATTCTGAGCACAATATTTTAAAATTCTGCAAATTTTATTTGTCAGTATCTTGCTGCATAATCACACTAGTTTCAGTTATTTTGGTAATTTTATTTCAGAATACCTGTCAGCAAGTATATCTGTAACAATACAGACACAGACAGATTCCCCCAGGAGCAGAGAGTTAAAGAAACCTCTATGACAACCCAGTTCCTGTTTCTCTGTCTCCTTCCCCCCTCCCATAGCCCACCTGCGGGGTTTCCCCCCCCCCGCCAATACACCCAAACCGTTCTTTCCCAGAGCCCAAACGTAGGGTCCCCCCAGTTCAGTTACCTGCACCCCATCCCTCCCCAGAGCCCAGCTGCAGGGTCCACCTTCCCCAGACACCCGTCCCCTTCTCCCCCCAGAGCCCAGGGATGCAGAGGGAGAACCAGCCTGATTTTCAGTCCCAGGCTTGCATGGAGTTCCCTGCTCCTTCCCTCAGGGCATGCTGGGAACTGCAGTTGCCAGGAACCCTCTAGCTCCCTCTTCCTCCCCCCAGTAGTGTCTTCTATGTGCAAGCTGGGCTCTGTCGAGTCCAGTGGCTTCTAGTGGCAGCTAGCAGCACTGCAGCCCATTTCTGTGGGTGAAAGGAAATTCTCTGCGCACAACGTTAATTTCTGCAAAATTCTGCATTGCACAATGGTGCAGAATTCCCCCATGAGTAAGACTGATAAAATAATTTTGTGACCTTGTAATACCTAATGTGCACATTAAAAACGCTACAGCAATAGCCAGGGGGAGGGAAGCACTGAAGCTTGCAGCGTTCTCACAGCTCGGAGCACTGCTGGATCAGCCCATGCCTGGCAGAGAGGGCACTGCTGGGGGCAGCCTGGCAACCCCCTCCTCTCCAGCTCTGCTTCTCTTGCAGCTGGCTGCAGCGGTGGGTCTGCCTGGGAACCATTGGATCTACTAGAACATTTGGATCTGCCCTGGCACTGCTGGGCAGGGATGCATCCCGGCAGCGATCCGCCAAACTAGCCGCATTAGGTAACACCTAGTAACTGGGAGAGGGTGTGATCAGTGCAAGGTGCCCAGTCTTGCACATGCAAATGATCCCCAGCCCACAGCTCTCCAAGGAGAGACAGTAGGGTGCCGCCCCCCAAGCCAGGGGTAGATAGTGAACTTGTTAACAAGTTAACTGATAATTTTAATAGTCTAAATGGGTACTCTTTTAAATGATACTTACATCCCTATTCTCCAATAACCTCCAAGTTAGGTCAAACTCTACACCCCTGTAGGGAGTTTCAGAAGCTCATAAGGAGCACGGTACCATTCTCTTGGCTCTGAAGGGCAGAAGTGCCCCAAAACCAATGCTAAGTGCAGGAGCTGTACTGTCCCCAATACAGATGAGGGAATAACAAAAGTAGATACCTCCTACACTAATGGTACCAATGCACCAAGAAAAGGAGTTCTTGGTACTGAAGACAGCAGTGAGATCAAACCGCTGACACCACAGAAAGACAAGCCAGTCTGTTCACTTGCATTAGGAGATACATATGAGGCCCCCAAGGACAAGTCCATCTATGTGGTCTTGGAATCCCCAATTCTGTTGGAACCCGTTCTGACCAGGAAGGTCTCTACACCACTGGTCCAGAGCATGCAAGGTACTGGTGAGTGGCTCTCCCTACAGTCTACCAGTTGGGCATAATAAGGCAGCACCATCCATAGAATTCAAAACTGCCAGTGCTTCTGAAAAGTCAGGTTTAGTGGGAGATCATCACCACTCCCATAGAGACAAAGGATCAGTCCAGACAGAGGACCCAGAGTCTCATAGGCACCATCCTGATTTCATAAGAGGGATTGTGCACCTGGAGACTAGTGGTAGTCTCCTCCATGGTGACTATCCCAATTTCCATTTGACCTCTCAAACTGGCCTTACTGGATACTATCGGATCCATACATGCAATATCTTGAATCTAGATGATCCCATTGGGAATCCAGACAACACTTCGTTCGCAGAGAAGATCCCGAACCTCCTCAAGAACTAGTGGAGGAAGAGGAGGAACTAGATCAGACAGAACCACCAGCCCTAATGTCATCTTCATCTCCAGATGTGATTGTACTGGCTTCACCATCACTGCCTAGTGGTAACAGGCAACTTGAAGATTTACTGAGGAGGATTGCAGACACATTCCGTATCCCTCTGGAGGAATTGCAGGACATTCCTCATAATTTACTCTGCATTCTCCAGAGACTGGTCCCATTAACGAAGCCATTTTAGAATCAGCCAAGACCATCTGGCACACTCCAGCCACTTGTGCCTTCACTCCAAAAAGAATGGAGAAGTACTCTGTGCCATCTAAAGGGCAGAATTTTTATTTATATGCCCTGCTCTGAATTCATTAGTAGTACAAGCTGTTACTGAGAGAAGTAGACCGTGTCTACTCCCCTCTGATAAGAAAGCTAAATACTTATAACTTTTTGGAAGAAAAATATTGACTTTGAGTGTACAGTTTCACATAGCAAATTACCAAACCTTAATGTCAGAATATGATTTTATTAATTATACTAAGTTTGAGGAATTCACTAATTCCCACAAAAAGATAGGCTGCAATTCCAAGCACTCATTGAGGGTAAATTGCTAGCCAGAGCATCCCTTCAAGCCTTAGTTGATACAGCAGATATAATGTTGTTCTTGATGGCAACTTCTGTGGTCGTGCATTGGTTGTTGTGGCTCTAATCCTCCAGATTTCCCAAGGATGTCCAGTTCATGGTGGAGGATCAGCCCTTTGAGGGGAAACTGTTTGTTTAGTGAGAAGACAGTTGAGTTGCTGCATTCCTGAAAGGACTTAAAGGTAACTCTCTGCTCACTAGGCCTCTATACTCAAGCACCATAGCAAAAATTCCACAAATCATAGCTCTACAAACAACACCCAGCCCCTTAACCCTTTTATCATCAAAAGGGTTAGAAGTCACTCAGGAAGCATTAGAAGGTGCAATGTAGCAAACATAATGTCTCTTCCCCCTTCCCCCCCCCCCGCCCCATAGTCCTTCTAACCCCAGCCTCCCATCAGAAGATATTTTTGATGGACTCCTCCCCAACAAGATGTGAAGGCCCACTCCACTAGAGCCTAGGCTGCATCAGTAGCCTCACTTAAGATGACACTCTCCTGTAAAGAAGCAACACGGAGCTCTGCTCACGCTTCTGTGAAACATCATGCCCTGGTGCAAGCTACTATAGCTGACATCCTTTGGCAGAGCAGTTCTCCAATCAGTAGTACAGCAAGGATCTTTGGACCCTTCTCCTCAATGACTACTGCTTGTGACTCACTTATAGTGGAATAATACAACCCATCTCTTGAAGAGCTAAGAGAGGTGAAGTTACTTACCTTGTACAGTAACTGGAGTTCAAGATGTGTGGTCACGATCTGTTCAACTACCCTCCCTCCTTCCCTTCTGCTGCAGTGTGTTTAATGGTATTCATGGCAGAAAGGTAGCTGGAGAGGTAGTCAGTCTGCACCATCCCTCATGCTGTTGGCTCAGAGCAGAAGGAGTAAAAGGGTGCAGATGTGGACCAATGGACACTGCTAGCAAGAATCTTCTGGTCTCACACATGTGGAGCACATGCACACCCCAGTGGAATACTGAGAGGGACCACACATCAAGAAATAGTTACTGTATGAAGTATAGCCTTTCTTTTTTGCCCGTTTCTAATTTGTGACAGTACATTACTTCTCACGCTATGATTGATTTCCAAATCCTCTGTAGAACTTTGTTAGAAACTTTATAAAACCTTTATTCAAATACAGTGTCAGCCATTTCTCCTGCTGCACTACTTTATTGACATACCCTCGTAGACTAGAGAGACATGATTTTCTTATTTGTCAAGCTGATTTGTTGCTACCATATCAAGAGGTCTTATCATTCTTTTCTAAATTGATTCAACCAGCTTACCTGATACTGCAGTAAGGTTGACTGATGCGTAATTTCCAAGATCACATCTAGTTCCTTTAAGATAGGTACTTTTGTTACTCTCCAGTGCGGTAATTGACTTTAATGCAAAACATCTTTATTAGCAGTTCAGTAGCCATTTTTCTTAAAGTACTTTAGTACTCTTGTATGTATATTACACACACAAAATGTGGCAAATAGTCTGCAATCATGTTACTAAATACTGTATTATAGCGCATATGCACAAGGGGTCTGACTTGCACAAGCAACCTTAATGAAGGCATTTTCTAACTTCTGAATGCTTTATTTTGCAACCTTAATGGTCTATTAACATAGTTTTCTGTATAATTTCCTAAATCTTTACAAAGACAAAACTGGGGGGAGGGAGGGAGAAATTCCATTATGTGGCATCCTATTGGCACCCACATGTAGTCAGCAGGGTTGGAATCTTTAGATCCACTTCACAGACCCCTGCCACTTGAGCTACCAGAGTAACTGATAGAAGATGACAACATATTGCTGCTATCTGGACCAGCACTACGCAGGATTTGAGATGCACATTTTGCCAGTTGGTTTCACAGATATATTTGCTGACAGCAGAGGAATGGTGAAACTCCAGGAATCTTGGATTCCATTCCAGGCACTGGAGGAGATTGTGCTGAAGTGGTCATAGACTCTTCTGCCCCTTCTCTTCCCCACCCCAGGTTCCCCCTCCCAGTCCCAGTTTCCACTCTTCTGGCTCCTCTTCCAAGTCTCCTTGCTTAGCCAGTCTTACTGTCCCCCTCCAGGTTCACTGTCAGAGCCCCAGCTTAGCATGATAAATTTCAGCCTAAATGGTTAAAGTTGGACAAAGTTTTGTAAGCAACTGAAAACAGTCTTACAATGGGAGGTGTCAGAAAACCTTCATAATTAGCAGCATTATGAGCCTCACCTATAATAATCTAGTCCTGAAGATTTACTGCAATCTAATTGAATTGTTCAGCACCACCTCTTTCAACATGTCGGTCTATAACAGTGACTCATTTAAAGGAAGTTTAAAATAACACAGAGAAGCACTACAACAGTAGCCAGTGAAGTCAAATTAGCCATGTGTTTAAGTACTTTGGTGGATGGATGCCTTGGTGCCCAATTTTTTGGATGCCTTCGTGAATTTTTTTGAAACTTGCTTGAAATCCTAGGACTGTAAAACAACCTCAAAAGAGGTTGATAAGTATCTGTTCTTCCTGGCATTGCAGGAGTTGCCACTTAGTCAATATTTTGCCAACAGTTAGCACCCAGCTATCAAAAATGTTTTCTGTCCCTGCACATGGGTGGAAATATCTGATATTTCTAATTCCACTGTGAGAAAATGTGGACTTAAATCATGCCTGTGATTTAGATTAAGTAGGTCCCATTTAAATAAAGCTGAAAGACTCCCGAGTCTAAAGCTGTAGCCTCCTATTAGTGGAGTCTTGACAGTGTAACTTTTTTTTTCTCCACTGAGGTATTTAGTATGGTTAAGTTCTTCTTTGAGAGCTGTCCCTGTGGATGCTCCACTTCAGGTGTCGATGTGTCCTGGCGCTGCTGATCAGAGGTTTTTGGGAGCAGTGCCTGGTTGGGATGTGCGTGTGCAGTAGCTGTCTCACGGTACTGTTGGCGCTTCATCTAGTGCTCGCGCGTCCTGACCCCCTCAGTTCCTTCTTGACCGCCCTCAGCTGCAGATGGAGCTCCAGGGGCGGTGTCAGAAATTTACCTAGAAAAGATTTAGAAATAGTTAAGTTTAGCTCCCAGTAATTAGTTAATAGTTAGTCTTAGGTTTCTGTTGAACCACTTAGCCTTTCCCTGTTTAAAAGATATATAATTGAAGAGCTTTCCTCTCCATTTCTATCTCCTTATACCACGACAAAATTGGGTAACGAAAATGCCAGGCATCCCTGGTTTTAAACGCTGCACTTTGTGTAAGGATGCTATGCCTGTCTCCGATGGACACTCAGTTGCTTGGGGGAGGTGCACATCCCTCAAAAATGCAACCACAGCAGCAATCTTAAAGCCAGAGCAAGGAGGGATAGGGATCTCAGACTTAAAATGATCCTTATGGAGAAATCCCTAATGCCACCGTCTCCATCTCGGAAAAAAACCCATCGGGGGATTCCCTGTGTGCCTCCTCGCTGGACAGATTGAGTTCCCTTTCCTCCAGAAAATCAAGGAAGAGGGAGGCATCTCCAACCCACAGAGAACTGTTGAAGAGGAAACTGTCTCCAGCATGATCACTACCCTTGGTGCCGACGGCCAGCAGGGTGAGCATGTTTGATGCTCCAGGCACCTCCGGCACCATCTGTATTGGGACCTATGCCAGCGGAGATTAGGTGTCGAGTAGTAGGCACAAATGAGCCTTGTACTCCATGGCACCGAATGCCTTGAGGAAGGACACGGTGCCAATGCCGCCTCTGATTACCATGCCACCTCCACTGGTACCACATGCTGCAGAGCCAATGCATGAACGCACTAAGTCGGCATCACTGGCATCAACAGAGGCCACGCATAAGTTGACGGTACCAACAGGACTAATCTCACAGATGATGTCTACACATAAGAGCATGGCACCAATGCCCATGGGACCGCGCTCCCTCACTCAATCAACTGGCACTGAGATACCATTCGAGCCTGGCTCACCTGTACACAGCACAGACTGTTCTCTGGTGCCGACTGCACCAGTACAGATGGATTCACCTAATGCCCCGCAATTTTTAAGCGATGAGGAAGATGACCTAAAAGAGGCAGTCTTCTATTCAGGACATTCCTCTCCATCCCATACAAGTGCCAGGAAACGGTTACAGGGACGTGCCCCCATGTCTGGCTTAACCCATGGATGTGCCCACCCATGCCATTCCTAATGCACTGGGCACAATGGGACCCATGGGCAATCTACAGATCTCAGACATACAGACCTCACACCCCACAGAGGTGACAGATTCACCCTTCTACAGTGACAGCCACTGAGCCCTCGGAGGTGCATGTGGATTCCAAGGAGTTGGAGGATTCCAATCCACAAGACTGCTCACCAGCCCACAATTTATCTTCATCTCCAGACAAGGCGGTATTGCCATCTCTGTCTGCCATCACAGATGACTCAAAACGATTCCAGGACTTACTCAAATGGGTCGCACAAAGTCAGAACATCCCTCTGGAACATGAGACTGAAAATCAACATTAGCGCCTAAAAATATGACACCCGGCATCCTCTACAAAGATAACATTACCAATTAATAGTACCTTCCTGGAACTAGTAGAATCAGTATGGCAAACTCCAGCTACCATACCCCCATACCATATCAATCAGCAAAAGAGTGGATAGGAAATTTTATGTGCCCAAAAACTGCATGGATTTCCTATTCTTGTACCCTCAACCAAACTCCTTGGTGGTGGATGCGGTGAACCAACTGGGGAAGCAACCCCAGTATAAATCTATATCACGTGACAAGGACTCTAAGAGACTGGATTTGTTAGGTCGCAAAGTCTATTTGTCTGTGACTCTCCAGTTTTGCATGGCCAATTACACCGCCGTACTGGCTAAGTATGACCATGACAATTATGAGAAACTTAATGAGTTCCCTGCGGACATCCCAGAGGACAGAAGGGAGCAATTCCAATCTGTCGTAACCGAGGGACAGCTAGTCGTGAGGACAGCACTACAGGTGTCCCTTGATGTCACGGGCACGGCCGCTCACATGATGGCTACAGCTATAGTCATAAGACGGGCATCCTGGTTACAATCCTCCGGAATCTCAAAGGGCCTCCAAATTAAAGTTGAAGACCTTCCCTTTGACAGAGCGAAATTATTTTCCGTGAAGACCGGTGAAGTCCTACACTCAATGAAGGACTCTAGAACAGCACTCTGAACCCTGGGCATATATACATACCCTAATAGATGGAGGAGATACCAACCTTATAACCAAAACAGGGATACGTTGTCTCCGGCACCAGAGACCATTGGACAATTCGTGCCAGAGACACCAACCACCTCAGTCCCAGTCAACTGCGTCACAGGCACCACCAACCAAGATGCAATTTTGAAGATTTGGTCAAGGGTCTGATCAACCTCCCCTGACAACCAGCGTATATATTACACAACCTACCCAGGTGTTTGGTCACCAACTACAGCCATTTTACCAAGCTTAGGCATCCATCATCACAGATCACTGGGTAGTGGAGATAGGACATTCTAGTTATACCATCCGTCTTCCCCGTCCCTCTTCAGGGAGCCATCTCACAAGCATCTTCTACGACAAGAACTAAACCATCTTGTACAGCTAGGTGCTGTGGGACATGTTCCAGTACAACACAGGGGGTAGGGGTTCTATTCCCACTACTTCTTGACTCAAAAGAAACATGGAGGATGGAAACCCATTTTAGATCTCAGAAAACTCAACGAATTTGTGCGTACCCACAAATTCAGGATGGTCACGCTGACGTCAGTGATTCCAGCGCTGGAAGAAGAGGACTGGTTTTCACCTTTCAACCTACAAGATGCATATTTTCACATCGCTATACACCCTGCATGCAGACAATTCCTACAGCTCACAGTAGGGAGAGACCACTTCCAATACAGTGTGTTACCATTCGGACTTTCGACAGCTCCAAAACCCTGGCTGTAGTAGCAGCACACCTACACAGACAAGGAATTATGATATTCCCATACTTGGATGATTGTCTGTTGAAGGGTTGCACTCAAGCAAAAGCAATACACTTCACACAAACGACTGACACTTTTCCATACCCGAGGGTTACAAATAAATGAGAAGAAATCTACCCTAGTTCTGGTTCAACAACTAGAATTCATCGGAGCTTACCTAGACTCGATAGGAGCTAAAGCTTCATTACTAATGACCAGATTCTCCACAATGACCACTCTTATTGGTAGTCACAAACAGTCCAAAAGGCTCTGCACACACCTGCCTATAACTATTAGGACACATGGCGGCCTCGATCTTGTGGTCTAGCACACATGACTATACATGTACTGTCTCCAGGGATGGCTGAGAACAGTCTACATACCACGCAAGCACAGTCTAAACAGACTCCTGTCACCACCATCACCAAAAGTCATTCAATCACTACAATGCTGGCTAAATCCACACAATGTGTGCGCGGGTCCCATTTCACCAAGACCCAGCATCCATCCTGATCACTACAGATGCCTCACTGATTGGATTGGGTGCACACTTGAACCAACACACAATCCAAGGGAAATGGTCTCCTGTGGAGTCTTTATTACACATCAATCTACTCGAATTATGAGCAGTTCAAAACGTGTGCCAACATTTCCTACCAATAAGAAACAAATAATGACAGACAACGTGCCTATATGTTCTACATAGACAGGGAGGCGCTCGATCTCTTTCCCTATGCACAGAAGCCATAACATGCTAGAACTGGGGCATTATCCACAGTATTACCATTACTGTGTCGTACCTCCCGGGGCAAAAGAACACAGTGGAAGACACATTGAGCAGGCAGTTTTCCCAAGAACATGAATGGGAACTGAACGACAACATCGCACAACACATATTCCGCATGTGGGGGTCACCACACATCGATCTGTTTGCAACATCCGAAACCATAAACATCCAGGGTTTTGCTCATGAGCAGGACTAGGACCGCAATCCCTAGGAGATGCCTTTTTCATCTGATGGAACACGCCTCTCCTGTTTGCATTCCCACAGATACCATTATTATCCAGAGTGATACACAAGATACGGACCGACAGAGCCTTGATCATACTGATAGCTCCGACGTGGCCCAGACAGATGTGGTTTCCATACCTGAACAGCATGGCGCTTTGCACCCCGTACACCCTTCCTCTCTCTCAGGATGAGGGTCTTGTTCTTCACCTGAATCTAGGAAAACTCTGCCTGAAGGCATGGCTTCTCCATGGCTCCATCACAACGAATTAACCTGGTTTGGAAGAGGTTAAAAAGATGTTGCTAAACAGCAGGAAACTTACCGTGCGTACCATTTACCTCCATAAATGGAAGAGGTTCTCCTTGTGGTCTCACGACAGATACATACCGAAACTTACAGCGCCAATACATTTGGTTTAGGAGTACATGTTGCGTTTGAAACAGATGGGGTTATATATTAGTTCACTTAAGGTGCACCTCGAAACCATAGCTGTTTTTCACCACAAGATAGATGGTTTTCAGCGTTCGTGCATCTGATTATGAAACACTTCCTCACAGGCATTCAGAACATGTACCCTAAAGTCTGCAACTCTACACCAGCATGGGACCTAAACCTAGGCCTCAGAGGACTTACCAGAGCCCCCTTTCAAACCACTTGCTACCTATTCTCTACTACATTTATCAATGAAGGTAGCGTTCCTGGTCGCGATCACTTCAGCACATAGAGTGGGTGAAATTGGGGCCCTCATGGTCATCCTCCTTACGCCATATTCTTTAAAGACAAAGTGACTATGCAACCACACCCTAAATTCGTACCGAAGGTACCTTCATCGTTCCATCTCAATCAACCTCTCTATCTACCTATGTTTTACACTAAGCCACATGGATCTACACAGGAATCTGTTCTCCACACTCTAGATGGTAGAAGAGCACTAGCATTCTACCTAGATAGAACAAAACCTTTCTGTAAGTCACAGAGACTCTTCATTTCCACCACTGAACAATTGAAGGGTGCAACCATTTCAAAACAACGACTATCAAAATGGATTTCGAATTGCATCCATTTATGTTACCAACAACAAAATATACAATCCCCTACGGGGATCAGAGCCCATTCTTACATAACGTTCCAATCAGAGAACTATGCCAAGCTGCCATTTGGGCTTCCGTACACACGTTCAGTTGAAAGGGGAATATGTAGAACTACCTTAAGTATTTTTAAGGTGTTTGTGTGGAAAGATTAGCAAAGCATGTTGTATTTGAGGTGCTTTTCAATAAGAATCAAATTTAAAACTAACCAGTTTAAAGGCACTACCTCCAGATCTCAAACTTTGCCTCTTTTTAAAAAAACTTTTTCACTGGTGGCTTTTAAAGTCCTTACTTACACTTGCCCCTTTGAATTGATCTAGTTTGCTAGTTACTGCCTAGTGTAGTGTTTATTTTTAAAAGCAGAGATACAAAACTTCTAAGGGTATTAGAAAATATAATCATAGTCTGAGAACTAATCAGACACTTCTAGGTCTGTGTTTTTTTGTAAGAACTGGTTGTATTACACAAAAATTGTTGCATTTTATTTTATAGTTGTATACACAGGGCTTGCAAATGGATTTTTCACCTGGCGAGTGTCATCCCTTTCCATACAGTGTGAGCTTTTGTTTTAAAACAAAGGCTATAGTTTGTTGTGTTAGGTCTTGGCCACTAGAAAGTATGTTTTCACTTTTATTGGCTTGTACCATTTCTAACTCTATCCCTTGATATAACTTAATATTCTATTTTCTTTTTGTTTTTATTTGTAATCTAAACGAAATCAGGTCTATTTTTGACTTAGTGATCGTTAACTCTAGTTAAAGTGATAAGCTGTCCTTTATGCCTCTATAGAGGAGCATACAAACCTTATTATTTCTCTGAAAAGTCGAGGAAAGGACATCGCAGAGCACATACTTTTGGAAAGATTCAGGGAGGGGGAGGTGTTGGGGTCATCTCTACTGGGTATAACCAGAGCTGGTGTATGCCAGAGTGTGGCTGGGGTGTAACAACCAGGTTGCTGCAATCAGTTACTGAGTCAAACCTGCTTAACACACATTCAGCGTATGCTTTTCTGCTGGCTGGCAGGGTACAGGCTGTGAGCCACAGCAGAATAACATTTAAGGCACTCGCTTACAGAGCAGGCAGTGAGACAACCTCTCGCTGGGCTGGATTACACCCCACAACATGACACTCTCCTTTATGGCTGGACAGCTGTTTCATTTATAAAGGGACTGGTTGTGGAGAAATCTTCGGATCTATAGGCATCTTGGTGGTGCCAGATATTCTGAAGAAGAAGAGGAGACAATTTATTATTCTAAAAGAGAGCTTGCTGACACAGACCATGATCCTGAGTTTTCACCAGATGAGCACCTGGGAAGTGGCTTCTGCTTCTTCCCCTTCTGGTGACTCTCCACAGTTCTGTGACCTGATGGATCGCATGACATCTGCATTGAATTTACCTTCAGTAGTAGTGGAGGAAACCACCTATCTAGTGTTCGACATTCTTGGGGCTGTCTCCAAGAATAGGATGTCGTTACCAATTCTCCATGGTCTGCTGCAGCCTGTTAAGACTGTTTTATCCACTCCTTTCTCTTGTCAGCCTATTTCCAAGAAGGCAGACAAATTATATCAAATACTCTTGGGGTGGGGGTTGTATTTTCATACACACCCTGTATATAATTTGTTGGTACCTGCTACCAGCAATGGTTGAGGTCTGGACAAGCATATTCCATTCCTGCTGATAGAGAGGAGAAAGAGGATTGATTCCTTAGGAAGAAATGTGCTCTCTTCTTCCACTGTTGGTATTAGGGACGGCAAATTATTATGCTGTTATGACTCTCTGTCAATCCCACCTCTGGGAAAGGATGCTATTGTTTGTACAGGATTTGCCAGATAATAAAAGGATGTTGGTTAATGTGATCCAAATGGAGGGTCAAAATGTGGCTAAGTATGCTCTCAGGGCTTCATTTGACACTTCGGCCTCTTCTGTTAGAACGTTGATTTCTGCAGTTACTCAGAGGAGACATACTTGGCTTCGCTCTTCTCTTCTGGCTCTGGATACTAGAATTAAGGTGGAAGATCTCCCCTTTGATGGTCTTTTCAGTGAAAAGACATGAATGACTGGAAAAGCTAAAGGAGGCAAGATCAGTGCTCTGTTCTTTAGGCTTGATTCCTTCTACTGGAAGACTTTCTACTCTTTCTTTCCATTATCAGAGACAGTATTATCCGTAGCCTTCCTTGATTTATTTCTTGTCAAATCAAAGATGACATCAGCAGGCTGTGACTTTCCAGAGTCAACAGAAGAAGTCTTTCAAATCAAGGCCTAAATCTCAACAATCTACTTCCTCCCTGTCATCTTCATTGAACACCAAGCCTCAGATTTGATGTGAGGATTGAGAACCAGTCAGCAAGGATCTTTGCCTTCCTCAGTTTGGAGACTAGCCCATTTTTTTCAGCAAATTGAGATTTATTACATCCTTGAAATTACAGAAAAAGGGCTATTATATTCACTATGAGAAACTATGCACTTTCAGTTCCCCATACCGTTCCCTTTTCAAGGAACCCTCTCACAACGCTATTCTACTTTCAGAAGTGCAGAAATTGCTTCTGATAGGAGCTGTCAGGGAGGTGTCCAAACACCTTGAGGAGTCAGGTTTTATTCTAGATACTTTTTAGTACAGGAGAAGAATGCAGGGGGAGGAAGGAGTTAATCCAATTTTAGATTTAAGACACTTGAACAAATATGTTTAGAAGTTTTGGTTCTGTACGTTAATTCTGGCCTTCATAATCTGTTCATTTTAACTGTGAATTAGTTTGTGACTCTCAATTGGAAGAATGCATATTCTCATATTTCTATCAGACAGTTGTCAAAAGTACTTTTGTTTCGTGGTGGCAGGACACCATTTCCAGTACAAGGTGCTCCCATTTGGCCTGTCCTCAGGACCAAGAGTATTGTACAAATTGCCTCTCTGTGGTAGTGGCTCAGCTCAGAAAGCAGGGTATATCTGGATGATTGACTGTTGAAGGCTGCTGTTCCCAAAAATCTATTAAGCCACATCACTTATACAATCACCCTTTTTTTTTTTTCCTCCGGACCTGGAACAACTACTGAAAGTCCAGTTAAATCTGTTCAACTCAACATTTTATTCTTGGGTGCCATATTGGACTCAGAAAAGCCTTTTTACCACAGGACAGATTTTTTTTTAAATAGTGAAGAATATTTTAAACTTTCAAGTATGTCAGAACTCAAAGTAATTTTCTTCCTGATTCTCATGGCAGCTACTACTTATGTAAATCTCCTGGAGTGTCTCGGAATTAGGCCAGTGCATCACTGGATGTCTCAGGTCAATGAGCCAAATCTGGATAATCTTCAAACGTTAGTCAACATTGCTTGAAACATTCCGGACTTGCTGATGTGGTAGGCAGTCAGAGCACATGTCCTCAGAGACTTCCAGTTCAATCCCCCTTCGCCATCAGTGAGGATAACTTCAGATGTGTCAAACAATGGTTGGGGGGGATAGGCATGTCTGAGTTATCATACAGTTTGAGATCACTGGGTTTCTCAGCAGCGGGACTTACACATAAACATGTTGGAGTTAAGAGAAACTTCGTCTGGCCCTCACGTTGTTCCTCCCTCACATACGTGGGAAGGTTGTTCAAGTAGTGAAATAAAACACAGTGGCTGTTTTACATCAACAAATGGGGGTGCTCACTCTGCTCGGCTACATGCAGAAACGATCAGTTTATGGGACTGGTGCATTCTGTGTGACATTTTTAAGTCTGGTGGGCCTGCATTTAGCAGGGGAAGACAACGTAATCGCAGATCTGCTCCGCAGCAAGTTTTCTCAAATGCACGAATGATCCTTTAAGGATCACTTGACTCAGAGCGTTTGTTTCTAGTTAAGGTTGACCAGATGTGGACCCGTTTTGCTACAAGGTTCAACAAAGTGGCACCTCTCCTGCTTGAGAGCAGGAAGAGACAGTCAGTCCATCTTCGATTCTTTCCTTCTGCACTCATGAAGGGGCCTTCTATATGCTTCTCCCCTCCCCCCCTTTTCATTGATCCAGAAAGTGGTGACGATTGCTCAGGACAAGGAAAAGATAATTCCGATTGCCCTGGCTTGGCCACATTACCAGAGGTTTATGGATCTGCTTCAGCTCTCCCCTGGGGTCTTCATATGTAATCTTCCTTCTCAGCAATAGAGTAGGATTCTTTATCCGGATCCGCAGTCCCTCCACCCGACTACT